GAAGGAAGGAAGGAAGGAAGGAAGGAAGGAAGGAAGGAAGGAAGGAAGGAAGGAAGGAAGGAAGGAAGGAAGGAAAAGAAAAGAAAGGAAAGAAAGTTCATTGAGGTTATTGAGGTTGGCAGGATCAGATCTCATCAGGCTTTGCTAGTGCTGGTTAGGCCACAGGGTGAAGCAGGGTGCAACCTCCCAGTCATGCTGGGGTCACCCTTCCCTAAGATATCATTACTTTCCAAGAGCTTCCCTTCTTTCAGGGCATGCATTAGCTCTGAAGAGTAGCCCAATGGTGTCTACCCCTTTCCATAGCATCCACAAGCCCATGAGTCCTAGTTACATTCTTTGTGTGAGTCTGCTGAGTTACCATATCACTTCATAACTTATATTTTTTGTGTTGAACCCAGGGGTGCTTTACTACTGAGCCACATTCCCAGCCCATTTTTTATGTTTTATTTTGAGACAGGGTCTCACTAAGTCTTAGGGCCTTGCTAAGTCACTGAGGTTGGTCTCAAACTTGCAATCCTCCTGCCTCAGCCTCCCAAGCCACTGGGATTATAGGCATGTGCCATCATGTCCGGCTCTGTCTATATAATTTTATAAATTAATCAGCTCGAAAACTTTTTCCAGCATATTAAAAAGCAACATAAAGGCTGGGCATGGTGGTGCACACCTGTAATCTCAGGATTTGGGAGACTGAGGCAGGAAGATTGCAAATTCAAGGTCAGCCTCCACAACTCAGCAATGTCCTAAGCAACTTAGTGAGACACTGTCTCAAAATTTAAAAAAAATAAAAGGGCCAGGGATGTACCTCAGTGGTAAAGTGCCCCTGGGTTCAATACCCAATACAAAAATATATTTTTTGGTTTTGTATGGATAGAGTTAGAGAAGATAATGCTAAGTGAAGTTAACCAATCCAAAAAAAACAAATGCCGAATGTTTTCTTTGATATAAGGAGGCTGATTCATAGTGGGGTAGGGAAGGGGAGCATCAGAGGAATAGTCAACTCTAGATAGGGTAGAGTTCATATGAAGACACAAATTGGTGTGAATATACTTTGTATACAACCAGAAATATGAAAAATTGTACTCTATATGTGTGATAAGTAAACAAAAATATATAGATAGATAGATAACCAAAACAAGATACTAGAATTATAGCATATAAGAAGGCAATTTGAATATAAGAGAACACTGTTTTTAAAAAGTACAGATAGCAAATTGAGTCACAGCATATTGAAGTCTCTCTATTCAAGAAATTTTATCATTTAAAATGGATAAAGAGGCTTCTCACTCTCAAGATAATCCACATTCTCCCTTGAATGTATGTCTACCTTCCTAAATAAATCTCTGTCTATGCTTTTAAAAAAATAAAGAAATAAAATAATTGAAGAATATTCTAGTTCTGTTAGGAAAAGAACAAGTTCTTGATCACAGACTGATGAATTCAGAAGGAAAGAAACAAAATTTGCAGACAGAATGGGAGAAAGTCATCAAAATTTAAATACTTTTTTAAATTGATTGATTGATTTTTGGTACTTTACCACTGAGCTGCATCCTCAGATCTTTTGTTGTTATGATAAGTTCTTTCTAGTTATGCATAACATTAGGATTAATTTTGACATAATTATATAAGCATGGAATATGATTAGCTCAAATTCAGTCCTAATATTTCCCCTTTCCCTCCTATCCTCCCTCCCCATGTTCCTTTCCCTCTACTGATCTTTCTGCTAATTTACTTTTATAAATATATATGTATGTATTTTTTGTATTTGTATGGATGGAGTTAGAGAAAATAATGCTAAGTGAAATTAGCCAATCCCCCAAAAAAAAAATGCCAAATGTTTTCTTTGATATAAGGAAGTTGATTCATAGTGGGGTAGGGAAGGGGAGCACGGGAGGAATAGACAACTCAGGATGGATAGATAGATAGATAGATATAGATAGATACAGATATAGGTATAGATATAGATATAGATAGTACCTTGTGGATGTACGTGATGGTGAGGTTCACTGTGGTATGTTCACACATGTACACAGGAAAGTTAGGTCAGATTCATTCTGCTATTCTTCCCTTATCCCATCCCTCTTCCCTCCCCTTTAGTCCCTTCACCTAGTCCACAGATCTTTCTTCTATTTTAAATGGGATCACTCTCCCCCTGCTTTTTTCTTTCTCTCTTCTCTCTCTCTCTATTTTTCCCCCTTGTTTTGGATTAGCTTCCACAAACAAGAAAAAACATTTCTTTGGCTTTCTGAAGCTGGTTTATTTTGGTTAGCATGATAATCTCCATCTACCAGCTGTTCCATCCATTTACCAGCATTCTTCTTTATGGCTGAGTAATACTCTACTCTATATTTATACCACATTTTCTTTATCCATTCATCTGTTGATTGATTGATTCCAGAGCTTGGATATTTATTTTGAAACAAAATAAATATCTTGTTAAATTGCTGAGGCTGGCCTTGACCTTGTGATTCTTCTGTCTCATCCTCCAGAGTCACTGGGATTACAGGCATGCACCCCCACACCCTCCCACTTGAGAAGTGATTTTAATGTTTTATTTCATTTTATTAAACAAGTACTTATATAATACTTTAGACCAAAAAAAATTTTAAGTACTTTACAAATATTAATTCATTTAATCCTTGAAACCTTACGAGGAAAATATTATTAGTCAAAAGGAACTGCCATTTTCTAGGTCTAAAATAGTGAAATGTCAGGAATTTAGGTTTAATCCAGGTCTATTTTGCAGATTATGGAATTTAGGCATAAATAGAATAATAATACGCTATTTGAGCTAGTAAAAAGCAAAGCTGGGATTAGAAGCCAGGCAGTGGCTCTCACATGTTTGTGCTTGTAACCACATCACTGAATGTTTTGATCAGCCTTTTCAAAAGACCTGACAAGAACGATTTTAGAGGAGGAAAAGTTTATTTGGTGCTCCTGGTTTCGGAGGTCTCAGTCCATAGATGACCAGCTTCCTTGCTGTGGGCATGAGGTAAGGCAAAACATCACAGTAGAGGAGTATGGTGAAGGAAAGCAGCTCAGGATATGACCATCAGAAAACAGAGACTAAGTTTGGCTCACCAGGGACAAAATATAAACCCCAAAGGCATGTCTCGAATGACCAGCCTCCTCCAGCCACACCCTACCTGCCTTCCATTTCCACCCAGTTAATCCCTATCAGGGGATTAATGCACCAATCAGGTTAAGGCTTTCGTAATCCAGTCACTTCACTTCTAGACTTTCTGGCATTGTCTCACACATAAGCTTTTTGGGGACACCTCATATCTAAACCATAACACTGAAAAGGAGAAAAATTTTCCCAATGATTTTCCCAATCATTGCTGATTTCAGCTGTAATTAGGATAAGCACAAACTGGAATGGAAGGAAATTGCTATGTGTGCCCCTAACCAGACCCCCATTTTTCAAATGCTGTGATGCTTCTGGGACACAACTTTTGACAGGACTAGAGTAATTATAAGGGTTAGTTTATAGTTACTGTATGCATTAACTAAAATTAACAAGCCCATAATGTTGTGACCCTACTTAGGTTGACATTGTGAATAAAAAAATTTTAAATAAAAATGACTTTATTTTTGTTAATTAAAGGGCATCATACACTGAAGGATAAAAGAAATACCTCCTTAAATATTTAAATATTATGCATCATAAAGCCCTTTAAATCAATATGAGAAAGGAGGAATCTGCTCAAATGCTGAATAGGATATAACTGGTCAATCCAGAATCCTCTTTATCAAGGACATTTGGGAAAATTTTGGACACAGTTCTATTTTAATACTTTTTATTCCAACACATCCCATAAGAAAGAATAACGTACCTTCCTTGTTTGTGTGCAAGAAAACACACATCAAGAAAATCCTTCATGTGGGTAATAGAACTTATAAGCAAAGTATCCATTATGCTATGTTTCTTTGAATTCTTGTCTATCACATGGACAGGAAATGTTACAGATACATTTTTCCTGAAAGACAATCATTTAAAATAACTTCTGGGGAGTCAACAACTGGCAGAATATTCTCCTCATTGCCACCTTCATCTCTTTGTTCCTTAAAGTATAGATGACAGGGTTCAGAAATGGAGTAATTATTACATCAAAAATGGCAAGGAATTTATCCACAGGCACTGTGAGAAATGGACATGAATACACAAAGATACACGGACCAAAAAATAAGACCACCACTGTGATGTGAGCTGACAGTGTAGAGACAGCTTTGGACAAGCCACCTGACGAATGCTGCCTAACAGTGACCAAGATGAAAATATAGGAGATAATCAAGATGAGGAAAGTTCCCAGAGAGATGAAGCCACTATTGGCAGTGACTAAGAACTCCAGTCTGTAGGTGACTGTGCAAGCAAGCTTAATAAATCGAGGGAGATCACAGTAAAAGCTATCCACTTCATTGGGGCCACAGAATGGTAGTTTTACAACAAATACTATTTGGATCAATGAGTGGATGATTCCAGTGGTCCAGGCCACCACCAAGAGTAAACTGCAAGTTCTGAAGCTCATGAGGGTCAGGTAATGGAGAGGCCTACATATAGCTATGTATCGGTCAAGGGCCATGGTTATGAGCAGCACCATCTCAGTTCCTCCAAAGACATGAATAAAGAACATCTGAGCAATGCAGCCTTGGAAAGAAATGACTTTTCTGTCCTTGAAAAGATCAGAAATCATCTTGGGAACTGTAACGGAGGAGATCCACATGTCAAGAAAGGAGAGGTTGGCCAGTAAGAAGTACATGGGGGAGTGTAAATGTGAGTCAGAGATCACTGTGAGCATGATAAAGACATTTCCTAAAATACCTGCCATATAGAATGTAGAGAAAAGCAGAAAAAGGGCAAGTTGTAACTCCAAAGAACTGGTGAGTCCCACCAACACAATCTCAGATACCATCGAATAATTTCCTCCCTTCATGGTCTCAGTTACCTTGGGGCTCCAAATTTGCCTGAAAGAACAAAAGAAATAAGAAAGTAGAGTTACTGGATAAATCATTTTAGGCTTCCATGACAGCAACAAAACCCCTAGGAAATAATGTGCTACGATATTTGTCACAGGAAGTTGACCTTACACAACCATGAAAGCTGGTTCTACAATGGGTGAGTCCATCATCTTTTTATTTAATGTTATAGCTGGAAGGCTACAAGGAGGCATTCAGGATGGGAATATGGGTATAAAGCTGGGGAGAGTAATGATAATCTAGAACCCACAAGCAAGAGCTAGAGTCCACAAGATAGAAACTAGTATCAGATCTCATTGCCTCTCACCTTGACAGCATGGGTGTACTGTAGAAGCCAAGGTCATTTGTCACAGGAATAAACACACACATGGTCCATGAGTCCATGGACCTAAAGGAGGATCCCAAGGAACATGTGGCAGTTGCAGCCCCATTCACTGCCTCACACCAATGGGAGAAACTAGAAGAAATTCCAAATCTTACAAAAGAATCTCTCCTGAGCCCATTCCCACTGGAAACGTATTTTAAAAGAGGAATTCTGAGGAATATAGCTCAGCCTATCCAAGTTAGAGCAATGAAAGTCACCACACTGGCTATGTGTCAATTAAAAATAAGAAAAAATGACAAAATAAAGTTAATGACCAAATAAAAGAGAGAAAATGAATACATTTTGAAAAATAGTTACCATCTCTTTTGCACTATGACCACAATAGCACTGAAATAGATCTAGCAAAGGCTCTAAATCTTCTATTCCTCTTACCACCCTATCTTCCACCAACTTCCCTCATGATTACTGACTCTCTAAAATTTAACCATTAGTTCCCCTGCAGCATCAGGGAGCTATTTCAAATGAGGGATTGCAAAAAATAATTTCAATAGAGTTTTAGGACAAAAGCAAAACAAAAGTACCAAGTGTTATGTTATATGGAAAGCCCCCGAAACTTCTAAATGCTAAAGAATTTTGGAGTTAACCTCTCTTTCTCCCTGTTCCAGGTATATGGGGATTTCTCTGGGATCAAGAATTAGTCTAGTGATTATCTGAACATCCCCATGGTGGATTGGAACTCAAATCTTGAGTCTGAATAGTAAGGTGTATTTTATATATGATTCCAAATATTTTGCCATATATAAACCAAATCAGAAGAGTAATATGATTTCCCTTTCAAGACTAATCCTAAAACATGTGAAAGTTTATTTAAGTTTTGAGCTAGCCAGCTAGAGTACTCAGAAATTAATCCAAGTGTTATAATAAAAAAGAAAAAGAAAAGCAGTTTATCTACTACCCTTTGGACATGAAGTTCCCAGTGATCCCGCAAAAGTATTTTAACAACATAGAAGATATTTGTGTTGAACAATATGTCTCATAGATGGAAAGCTCTTAATAAACGTTGTTTAGTGGATGGCTGGATAGTTGGGTTATATGATGAACAGCAGGATAAATGGATGGATAGATAAATTAACTTGTCTTTTCATTTGGTCACTTGGGATTTCAGTAGTAAGCCAAAATCATTTTGCTTCATTAAATTGACTTACCATTTTTTTACTTCTTTTTTTTTTAATGTTGTTAGTTTGTTTTGGTGCTGCTAGGGATAGATCCTAGGGTCTCACAGATGCTAGGCAAGCATTCTACCACTGAACTACAATCACAGCCCATTTTTATTTTATTTTAAGACAAGTTCTTACTACATTTCCCAGACTGGCCTTGAATTTGTGATTCTCCTGCCTCAGCTTTCCAAGTAGCTAGGATCATAGGCTTCTTTTTCTTTCTGAAGGAAACTATTCCCATTCTTTGAAATTTGATTTTTACTCTACAGTAATCATTTACCTCAGCAAATCTAACACATCTCTCCTAAAAAGTGTTTGGAGTTACAAATATGAAATAAAACAAAATTGTAATACACTGAAAACAACCATTAACAACTACATGCAAAAATATCTGCTCTGGGCACAATATCATGCAAGTAAAGAAACAAACATAAAGTGAGGCTTGTGTTCCCCCTCCCCCCAGGGGAATTGTTTAGGTTTGGGGGGCGTGTTTTGTTTGGATTTTTAGTTTGGGTTTGATATGGGGGGGTTGTTTCCTTTTTGTGACACTAGGAACTAAACTCTGGGCCTCACGCATGCTAGGCAAGTTCTCTACCACTGAGCTACATCCCTAAAGCAAGGTTCCTAATTACATGAGCCATAATTTAGAATCTGAAGAAACATGTCAAAGATAAACGTTAACACACAGTGAAACACATGAAGGGTCAAATTTGTGGTTCAACCTCTGAACCACTGGAGTTCACAGAAGCAAGAATTGTACTGGTTCTTGGTAAACAGAAACTTCCTCTGTAGGATTCTTTACAAGTGGTCATCAATGAATAATTCCACTGATAAAGAACAAGTTAGCTCCTCTTGAATATTCATATTATGAAATTCTTCTATTTAATGAGAAGTAGTGTTTTCTTTAACTTCTAATTATTGATCTCAGTTTTGTCATTTGAAGTCATGCAGAATTAATAAATTCATCTCTTATACACCGGACTTTCAAATATGTGATATTATCTCTCATATCTGTCCATCAAGGTCATCCTTTTATGAGCAAACTACCTAGGTCCTTCTAAAGTTCCTCATGAACTGGGGGCAGTGGTGCTTACCTGTAATCCCAGTGATTCTGGAGGCTGAAGCAGGAGGATTGTGAGTTCAAAGTAAGCCTCAGCAACTTAGTGAGGCACTAAGCAACTGAGGGAGACCCTGTGTCTAATAAAATATAATAAAGGGCTGGGGATGTGGCTCAGAGGTTAAGCGCCCCTGTGTTCAATCCCCAGGAACAAACAAACAAAAAAAAAGATTGAATTATTTGTCTTCTTAAACATAAAGGTAAATGGTTTTTAAAACTTAAACACACACACACACACACACACACACAAACAGTACTAATGTCAAAACCTCAGTAAAGTTTGGAACTCAAACAAATAGTGTACGGAACCTGACTTTTGACATTATTAAAGCCTTAGGGCAAATAAAGTGAATCTGAGCTTATATTTACAGTCTAGCAGAATTCCAGGATCAAGAATAAAAGCCCAAACCAGGCACAGTGGCTCACGCCTGTAATCCCAACAGCTCGGGAGGTAGAGGCAGGAAGATTGCAAATTCAAAGCCATCCTCAGCAATTAGCAAGGCTCTTAGCAATTTAGAGAGACTCTAGGTAAAATACAAAAAAGGGCTAGGGATGTGTCTCAGTGGTTAAGTCTGCCACGTGACCAGCTCTGGCTTCATGAAAGAAGGTTCGATTCATGAGTAAAGGCTAGGGAGTTTTAAAGTAAAGAGACAAGGCTCTTATTACCTTTAATACCAGCTCCGGGATGGCTTCTCTTAGCTCCCGCTAAGAGACTAGTGAGAGAATACGCCAGGGAGTGGGGTTTTATTGGGGAACAAAAAAACTCAAGGGAAAACCCCATCCAATGAAGGTTAAGAGGGGCAGCATCCCAAGGTCAGAGGCGATGATTGGGTCTTCGGGGCAGTGGCCAGACATGCCTCTGCACGGACAAGCCCTCGGACCTGGAGAAGGGTGGGGAATAGCTCTAACACAGCTGTGTCTAAGTGCCTCTCACCCAGCCAGGGAGGTAACTCAAATCACATGCAAGGATGGCCTCCTACAGTTAAGCTCCCCTGGATTCAATCCCTAGTACCAAAATAATAACAAATAATAATTTTTTAAAGATTAAAAGGCCAGCATCCAATTAAAGTGGGAGTCTATTATGAGAATCGGCCCCAATAAATTTTGGACTCCTAAAGGCCTCACTTCTTTTGTCTTTTTTCTTTTATTTTTAAGGCCTTACTTCTTGAAAGGTAAACTAGGAAAACCCACCCACCTTACACCCCAAGGAGCTTGTCTTGAATCTTGATCTTCATCCAAGGCCTCAAATAAGTCCTATAAAGTTCCAGAGGTAAAACATGAGTTCATAAACACATCACTTCATTTAAAAAAAATAAGAACCATAGCAAAAACTAGTAGAAGAGAAAACAAATCCCCACAAAGTCTTAAAATATTAGAAAGATCATGCCAGGCATGGTGGCACACACCTGTAATCCTAACTACTGGGGAGGCTGAGGCAGGAAGATCATGAGTTCAAAGCCAGCCTCAACAATTCAACAAGGCCCTAAACAATTTAGCAAGACCTCGTCTCAAAATATAAAATACAAAGGGCTGGTATGTGACTCAATGGTTAAGTGCCTTTGGTTTCAATTCTCAGTGACAAATAAATTAATAAATACAAAGTGAGCCAGGCACGGTGCCATACTCTATATTCCCTGCTGGTAGAGAGGTTGAAGCAGAAAGATCCTGAGTTCAAGGGCAGCCTGAACAGCATAGGGAAACCATATCTCAAAAAGAAATAAATGAATACAAAGTGAAAATAAAAACAACAAACAAGAAAATTTAAAGACTGAAAAAATATAGACAAAAACAAATCAAATAAAGCTCCTAGAAATTTAAAATAAAATATTAAAATTCAGAATTCCAAAGAGAAATGACAGCATAGAAGATATAGTCAAAGATAGGATTTATAATTAGAAGTCAAATTTGAAGATGTAACACAGAAAACAGAGTTGGCAAACAAAAGATAAGAGACACAGAAACATATGAAGAAGCTTAACATAAATCTAACTGAACTTCTAGAGCAGAGGCAATTTTGAAGAAATAATGCCTAAAAACTTTCCAAAATTGATGGAAGGTGCTTGTCCACAAATTTACATTTTCCAATAAAGCATAACAGTATTAACTAAAGAAAACATACCTAAGAAATAATACAATGCAGTTAGGATTGTCACGTTTAGCACATAAAAACAAGATGTCCAGCTAAATTTATTCACTTCTTTTAGTGAACAATAAGACATAAAATATCAATCAACATAAAGAAGGTTTGAATAATCTGATTAATCTAATTGAATTATAATAGTTTCCTCTCCCCATTACATGCAC